CCAGGAGAGGTGTAGAGGTGGTTGTTGCTTCCATTTTCACCTCACTCAACTGTGTGACATTGACCCGTTCCCACCCCGACCCTTGCCCTTGGTTTTCCCACCTGTAAAATTCAGAAATGCAGTTGGAAAGTCCTTATGCATTTAGTCAGTGAATACGTGTAGATCACCTTCTGTGTGCCAGTTAATCGTCAGAACCCTCACAGAGCTCCCGGTCCAGAGAGAAGCCAGACAATTAAAACAACAATCACAATGAAGTGTGTGGGCTCTGTCTACCCAAGATCCCTTCCTCTTCCTCTCTCACTTCTAATCTCACTTCCCAGGGCTGTGAGCTCTAGCCTGTCCTAAGTGGAAAGAAATCTCCCTTCCTCTGGCTCTCTGCACCAGGCCCAATGGCTTCCCTGAAGTGGGACTGGTGACTACACAGCACCCCCCCCCCCAACTGGTTCATTAGAGGAAAAGGGCTGTAGGGCAGGGCCCTAGGGTATGGCCGTCATCCCACTGGGGGCCTGGAACTGAGGGCTCCAGGGGAGTGTGGCTTGGGCTATTGAGGATGAAAAGGGGCTAAGGACAAGGCAGTGGGGCACAGGGCTTCCCAGGTTGCTAAGACTTAGGGGTGTGGATCTTCACCCTAGTTCCTGGGCAAAAAGTCAGAGTCACAGAGAGGGCCCAAGATGACCCACCGGAGTTTATTCACTTCCAGTGGTACTGGGTCAGGTGGAGACTTGGTGGCATCCTCCCCAATGCCAGAGCAGGATCCCAGGTCCTGTCTGCTTTGGGCAGAGAGCAGCAGCCTATCAGCACGCTGACATTCAGGAATCTAGAAATGATGGGGGGGGGGGGGGGTTAGGCCCGGGGGCAGGGGCGGGGGGGGGGGGAGGGACCCTCCCGCCAATCCGACACCAGGTTTGGGTAGCCTCACACCTTCAGACTCGTCACCCGCCTCAAAGTCGGGCTCTGGCTCTGGCTCTGGCTGTGGCTCCAGCTCCAGTTCAGGTGCTGGCTCTGGTTCCGGATCCATTTGGGGTTCCAACTCTGGCTCAGCCCCTTCAGAGACTTCAGCTTCCACTTCCGGATCGAGTTCCTTGAGGGTTCCGGATACTGCCTCCGAGCCCCCTGAAACCCCAGCCTCGTCGCAGTCTGAAGCTCTGGGGGGTTCGGGGCAAGCGGTCCTCAAGTCAGGTGCCTCAGGCGTCCAGTGGCCAGGGCATGGAGAGTCGTAGCTGCGTTCCCGGTAGCCTGGATTGGAGGTGGGAGTATCTGAGTATCTCATTTTAAGGCCTCAGCGGTATCCTTGGCACACGGCCACCTACAACTCAGCTCCACACTCTACCCTTCCCGCCAAGCCCCGTGCTCTGGCCCAGGCCCCGCCCCTCTAGCGCTCACCAGTGCCCACGTGCTGCCAGTCCCAGGCCGGGTCTGGCGCGCGCGTAGTACGCTGGGCGCAGTGCAGCAGCTCCTGGCAGGCGGCCTCGCCCTTGCTTTGTACCAGCAGCAGCAGGCGACGCACCCTGCGCTCGGCATCAGGCAGCGCGTCCAACGCCTCATACTCAGGCCCGGTGAGCACGCCGCGCGCCAGCAGTGCATCCAGCAGCAGCCCGGAGTCGTCCTGCAGCGTCTCCACTAGGCGTTTCCGCTCGCGATCGATCGTCTCTGAGGGCCGCTCCTGCGCATTGCCCATGGTGGGGGCTGCATGGGGGAGGGGAGAGAGGTAATAGGGCAAGGACTCCCCCGCCCTTGACCTCTCTCCCAGGGTCTCCGTGAACACTCTTGGCTGGGATTTAAGTTCACCTTGACCTGGGCAGCCGGACAGCTCCTCAGCACAGGACTTGTACCTCCTGCCTTTCAGGCTGCTTCTGTCCCCTCTCCTCCTCAGGCTTCTCCTTGGGTTCCTAAACGTCAGCTGTGGCTCCCCTCTCCTCTATGCTATCCCTGGGCCCTTATTTACTCTCGACCACTCTCCCCAGTCAGGACGTCCCTCCTGTGTCTCCGCTGCCTGCAGATCCTGCATTTGATTCAGACCGTTTATCCAAACTAAATTCTTTTTCCCAGCCTGCTTCCCCACCTTAACAAGCAGAAAGACCTACAATTGACCTGGATACTCAACACCCAGTTTGCAGTCAGGTCCTTTTCAGTCTATCTGCTGAGTATTTCTCTGTCATCCTAACCTCTTACTTAGTCTAGCCTTTCATGTACAGCTTAGACTCTGCTGAGTGCTGAATCCCCTCTGCACCCAGAGCACAAGTGCTGAGAGCCTTCCCTCACCAACTGAAGGAAGTCTAGGCTCCTTATCCTGATCCTGAGGCCCATCTTTCTGGGGGAGGCTCCACCCCTGCAGTCCCTCACCAATACCACCATGTTGTAACCCTGACATTGGTCTGATGGCGCTTCCTGGCTCCCTAATACCTGAGTAGAGATGCCTGAATCCTCTTGAGACCTAGCTCTGACCAAGACCTCCTGACATTACCTGAGACCCAACGTCTCCCTGATTCCCTGGGAATCTTCCCTGGGAATGCTTCATCTTTAGGTACCACAGACCCAACTCATAAAAGCCACCAACAAATGCTTGCTGAACTTTTCTGTTTTCCTCCATGGATCCTCCCATTTTGAGAGACTGTCTCTCGCAAGCAGCAGGTCTTAGGCAGAAGTTAATCTGCTGTGTCCATTTATTAACAACCAAGGATAAAGGTCCATCACTTTTGGAGTGGCCTAACCCAGGCAGCAAAGCCCCTGGCATTAAGGGGCAAAATAGGTCAGGCCCTGAACCACTCCCTCCTTCAGCCCACCTACACCAGCCTTGGCTTTGTTCACACAGCACCCTCCTGGGTCTCATCCTCCTTTTGGGGTCACTCTGCTACCTCCCTACCTGGCTCCAGGTCTGGGTGAGCGCCTTTGGTCCTAGCCCCCATCCTGCCTCCCAGGTCTCTCTCACTACCACTTGGTGTCAAGCTATGCCTCCCTGGCCATTTCACCCTCCTAGCCATACTGAAGTGTCAGCTCTTTCCCCAGGCCACTGACCAGAGACCAGAACTACCCCCACCCCTCCCTCTACCTTCATGTCACATCTCTGACAAATGCTACTCCTCTACCTCTCAGTGGTCTCTATTAGTATCCCCCTCAACCCCACCATGGTCACCTCATCTCCTATGACAGTCTTTCTAAGTACATCTCAGTCCCATCCCATCACTCCCACCACATAGTGACTTTGACAAGCCCCTGGGACAGGATTTATTGTCCCCATTTTACAGGTGAGGAGAGACCAAGTGGCAGAACTGGGATCTTATTTGCTCTAATTTGAACTACAACAAGATCTCCTGCGAAGCAGAACATCAGCCCTAATGGCCTGTTTCCCCCCACTGCCCATCAGAGAGAATCAAGATTATCTGGCCTGGCTGCTCTAGGCCACCTCCTAACCTTCTGGACAGCTGGGGTTTCTCCCACTTCCCTCCACCACACAGTGCTGGGAGAACCCTGCAAGCCCCTGGCACATCTGAACCAGATGCAGATGCTATTCCCTAAGCCTGGAATACCCTTTCCTTACCTCCATGCTGTGGACCCATCCTCCGTGACTCAAATGTCCCCTTTCCCACCCCAGTGCCAGAATGTCCCAAAAGCAGACTGGTTCCTTCTCTTGTGGAACCAGTGAACAGCATACACCCTCACAACTGCGCGGACATCACTGCACTGTGTACACGGACCCTCTGCCCTCTTTGGCAGAGACCTCCAAAGACTGTCCCCCCAGTCACAGGTGCAGGACCTACTCTGTACAAGTGCAGAGAATTGGGGGGGGGGGGGACAGATTGAACTGGCCTCTCCTTTTCCCTCATTGCTCCCCAACTTATTTTCATGTTAACCTCCTCCCCACATTATGCCAAGTCCTGCACTTTGTGCACCCCAGTCTGAGGTGCAGAGACCCTAGCTGGTCTGGGTCTCCCCCTGCGACCCAATGCTCAGAAGTGAATACCAAAGTTTTGTCGTGGCTAGTCCTTCAAGGGTCACAGACCAAATTCTTCCCGGAGCTTCAGGAGGTTACAGGTGCCACGCATCCAGAGGGGTCTGGGTCTCCTTCCCACCTCGCTGCGCAGGCTCTTACGCTAGGGAGCAAGGGTTGTGGGAAACTGCGGGAGCTTTTGCGAAAGTGAGATCACAAGGCTCCCCTTACCTCCCCTCCACCCAGTCCCAGAGCTAGAGTCCGGCGGAGGGGCGGGGCTCACAGACCTCCTTCAAGCGCGGCTGGTGATGAGGGGGCGCAGATTCTGCCCAATCAGTTTCTCTTCCCTCCTCCAGCCAGGTGCCGGGGGGGGGGGGGCCGGGGAGGTGGGGGGGCGGCTCCCGCTTCTGTGCGTTCCGGGCGGCCCCACTCAAGAGTCGAGCCTCCGCGGGGCAGTAGATGACGAGGCAGAATGGGCTGGGCAGGGAGGGGGTGGGAGCAGCAGCTGCTGAGGGGGCGGGGCGGCCAGGGCTGCCGGGAACTGGGAAGGGGTGGAGAAGAGGGGGGCGTTCTTCTTAGGACACCGGAAAGCAGGCCGCAGAGGCCGAGCACCGCCTGGGCTCACACACGTAGTCCGTTTTCCCTCTCCACCCAGGGTGCATCGGCTGAGTCAGCGAGCGGGTGGTTCGGCCTGCGGCCCCAAATATCCAGCGCCCAGTCTCTTGGCCTGGCAATTACCAGATGCTTTACATCCATCTTCTTGAATTCTCTCTGCTTGTCGCAGATAAGGCTCAGAGAAGGGGACCAGCTTACCCACGATCACAGAGCAGATGCATTAGAAGGTTGGATGTGACCCCAAAAGCCCCTGAGTTCTGGAGGTTGCAGTGGCCACATGCTAGCCCTGGATGAGGCCAGAGGGTGGGAGCTAAACAGGGAGTGGAGCTAACCTCCACTCTCCAGGGGTTCCACTATTAAAGCCTTAGGAGCTGGAAATTTCTGTAAATGTAAAGTCCCCCCCCCCCCCATAAGTTCTATGCTCCCTGGTCAGTAGAGAAAAGAGACCAGAAACACAGAAAAAAAAAATGCAGTTTATGTGCAGGGTTCAGTAATGGAGAAGTAACAGGGTCTTCAATCAGCCTCTTCTAGGGGGGGCACGAGGAAGCTGAGAAGGGCTGGCTTCAAAGCAGAGCGGGTTTCAGGGGGAGGGATTGGCCCCTGGGCCCAGGTAGGAGGCTCGGCTCTCAGGGGCGCTGTAAATCGTTAAAGCTCCAGGAAGGCCGAGAGCTGGGCTTCCCAAAGCCGCTTGGACATCCAGCAGGAGTGGTGCCCCAAGTGTGGAGTCTTTCCCTAGGAGAATTGGACTGTGCTCAGCAGGGAGAAACAGCTCTTCCTTCTATCTTTGAGGAAGGAGAGCCTTGCCTGCCCTACCCTCTGGTCAGTTAGGATGAAACATCCATTCTTAACCTCCCTGCTTTCACCCAACAGCAAGAGGGTGGGTGGCTCTCAGAGGGCTGCCAGAACTCTGGGGATTTCCCTCCAAAACACAAACTGCCCAGCCTACCCAATCCTGGTAGCTCAGACCAGTTAGGACCTCCCCCCTCGTCCTGAGTCACCACAACTGTTACCTGGCCCTGGAGAATTTAACCCCTTGACTGCCAGCTCATTCTCACTCCTCTCTGGAACCAATGGCTGCATCTGCATAGGAAAACCCCAGGAAGCAGCTGGCCAACCAAGAGAACTGAGAAGGAGAGCTCTCGGGCGCTGGCTAAGGGCTTGGCTCAGCAACCCTAACCCCTGCCCTCCCCACCTTCACCTTACCAGGGACAGCTCCATGTCCAAGTCCATCAGGGTCCATTCTCGCCCTTGGTGGCTGGGGCCTAGCACCTGGGGGAAGCTCTGGGTCAGTGGTGCCTTCCCGACTACACAAACCCCACCAAGCCCCATGCCCCTGCCCTGCTGAAGGTGTACTCACATCCAGGGGCCCCGCAGGCTCCACACTTTCAGGGGGGGCCCGAAGCAGCATGGGAGGCAGAAGATTCTCTGGGCTCCGCATGCCCCTGTCCAGGCCCAGAGTTCCCCTGTGCACAGAGAACTGCTGTTGGCCTGCAGTGTTCACCCCCATTAGATTCCCAAGGATTCTGGATACATCAGGATCAAAATCTGACATCTACAAAATGGTAGGAGAGGACTCCCCACCTAGAGTATACTTAAAGAATGCCTCTGCCTCCTACCTTTGACCTGAGGTTTGGGTTATGGAGATAGGGTCTTGGGATATATACCCTCTCTTTGCAGTTGTCAACATCAATGGTTCTTAAACTATTGTGTACTTTACAATGTTTCCATTCACCCCAATGAATTCCTTCACAATAAGTGTTCCTGGGTTCCTGAGCCCTACCATAGATATGCTGATTGACCTGATGGGAATTTCTACTTTTCAGGGAACTGTGATGCAGGTACTCTTAGAGCAACTCTGGGAAATTAGTTCAGATCATAGTGCCGGACCTCCCCCTCAGCCACCAAGGAGCAGACAGGGCTGGGAAGTTAGTTAGTGGTGGTCTGTCTGGAAAAGTAGCCCACAGGGCTCACAGTCAAGAATGGACTCTTTTGCTCACCTGTCAGGTACCTCCCTGGGACCTCTTGGTTCAGGCTGTTGGGCATTCCTGGGCCCGTCAGGGCTGAAGCTCCCTTTCCCTTCCAGGATGGCCTGCACCACAGCCACAGGCAGCGGTGGGGGTGCTGTCACGCAGAAGTCACACTCGTTTGGGGCCAGGGCCAGCCCGGCCTCGCCTTCCCCCCCTGGACTGGCCGGCTCTTCTTTGAGCAGTGCCAGGCCCTTCTCCCTGCACCAGAGAAAAGCTTCAACCAGACCCTTGCACTGACTTCCCTCCATTCCCCCATAGCCATCTGGGCTGCCGGGTCATCCCCCACAGGCTCCCCGGTGGGCAGCCCTGTCTGTCTTACCTCCTGCCACCACTGGAAGGAGAAAGCCTGGTCCCATCAGGGGATGGAGAGTCTTCATGGATGTCAGAAATGATAGGGCCCCTGGCCCTGTGAGAGCTGGTGAGGCCCAAGGTGGTCTCTGGGAGGGGCTGTAAGAAGACAACTAGGCCCAGTCCTTCAAGTCACAGGAAGAGTCAGAACCCAACCAGTACCCACATGGACCAGGTCTACGGAGTAAGGTTTGAGGGGGTAGGCTCAGTCCATGTTGGGGAACCTGGGTCTTGGGCCATGGGGAGGAGAAGCTGGACTCCACCTTCTCTTCCTTTTTGGGAATGGAGGAAAAGAATAGGCTCTCCATAATCCCAGCTATGCCCTAGGGAAGGGAGGAGGAGCAAAAACCTACCGACTGGATAAAGTAGGGATCCTGAAGGAGGGCACCAGGTAGGGGGCAGGCACTGAATTTGGCTGCTGTTGGGCATGAGCTCCCCTCATCCAGCATCAGGGACCTGTGCAGGGGGGCGGGGCAGGTTCATCCCCCATGCCTCTCAGCCTGCACCTCCCTCCCTCAGGCCCCAGCAGCCAAGTCAGCAGAGCTGAGGCCTGTTGCCAGGGCATCAGTCACATGCTGGAGGCCGAAGGGGCTCCACCCAGAGATGGGGGCCCTTTGGGGGTGGAGAGGGGAGGGAGGGAGCATGGTTTCAGCCCCAGACCCTCTGCTGTTGGGATGCTTTGGAGTGAGGGGGAAGGGATTGCTGGGAGTGGTGGAATTGGGGGAGAAGGTCCTGGAACATAGGGATCTGGGAATGGGGGTACTTGGTGGTAGAGCTGGGGAGAGAGGGGGAAAGCCCTGGAGGTGGGCCCTTGGGGACATTGCCATGGAGTGAAGAAAAACGGTATTGCAGGGAAGAAGAATGAGGATTCCCAGTGAGGGGTCTACTGGAGGAGATGGAGTTCAGGCATGGAGCCTCTGACAGAGAGGCTCCTGGAAGTGAGTGTGGAAGGGGGGCGTCATCCCGGACTTTCTCACTCACAGCTTTCTCTTAGCTCCTGCGTTGCTGGGCCCTGTCTGAAGTGGCCCGAAGAGGCACTGGATCAGCTAAAGAGGAAGCAAAGGGTTAATTCATACTTCGGACCTTGCCCCAACCCAAGGCACTTCCAGGTGGATTCGCCGCCCCGGCAGAGGAGGTGGGTGTGTTCAGGAGTGAAAGAGAGAAGTGGGGTAGGGGGAGAGGAACACCTTGCCAATGACCCGGTGCTGCTGACCATGGCTCTGCCGTAAAGTCACCACCTCCCTCCATAAGATCTCGTTCTGCCTGCGGGAAGGCGTGGGGGAGGGGTGCTGAGGCACCTGAGAGTCCGCCCAGTCACCACCCCCCACAGAATGGCAGGCCTGAACCCACGACCACTCAGACGATCGTCCATCCATAGAGAATAGAGTTCCACAGTTCAGCCCATTTGTCTGGATGGAGGCACCAAGACACGAGAGAGGAAGGAGCTGTGCAGAACAGCCTGGTAGCTAGTGTTCTCTCGTCCAGACTCCCCTTCCCCCCTTCCCCCCTCCTATGCCCCCTCCCCCCCGCACTGCCTGAGCTCCCGCAGCCGCGCCTCGGTGCTCTCCTGCACTCCCCGCAAAGCCTGCACCTCGCCCAGCAGCCGGCCCAAGTCCTCGGGGCGCCAGCGGCCGTCGTCGCTGCGCAGCGCAGGCACCTGTAGGTGGGAAGCACGATCGGATCAGAGTCATCAAGAACACGGCCAGCCGTCTCAACACCTCTACCGGGGGTGCTGGTTCCTGCATGCCGTACCCACCTTGCGCCGCACGCGTTCCAGTAGTTGCTCTCGGCCGCGTACGAAGCTCGGGTGCTGGAATTCGACGTGGTCGCGCTCTGGCCTCAGCAGGCCGCCCTGCTCGATGCTCACCACCTTCCTAAAACCGTCTAAGGAGTGGGGCGTGGGGGAGTGAACTGACCCATCCCCGCGCACCAAGTCACTCACACCCAATTCCCGTCTCGCCCTAAGGACTCACACATGTTGAGTTGACGCACAAAGCTCGCCATGTTGCTGTGTTTGAAGTATTGGGGCAGCACTTCCTTGGCGAAGCGGCTCTGGTCGCTTACGAGGAAACTGGTCCCGCTCTGCCAAGAACGCCGCCCGCCCACCCACCGTGCGGGCGGAGACGGGACGACACAGTGAGGCGTGCCCGCCCACGGCCAGGCCCGCGCTCTGGCGCGCGCGCGCGCGCACACACACACACTCTCTCTCTCTCTCTCTCTCTCTCTCTCTCTCTCTCTCTCTCTCTCTCTCTCTCACTCCGCTGGGGACCGGCCACTCCTGGAGACATGGGACGAGGCCAGAACTGCACCAGCTATGAGGCCTAGCCTGGGGCCACCACAGTGTATTCTTACCCTAGCCCAACCCAAAAATCTCTACTGGATTCTCGGAAAGGAGGAGCAAAGGCCAGAGTTTTTGGGTTCCAGCCCTGGACGGGTCCCAGACCCAAGATGTTACTTTGAGCTAGAACCAGCCCCAGCCCTTCCCTCCCTCATCTGGTCTCTGTTTTCCGATCTGTCTGCTGGGGTGGGGTGGGAACTAACTGACCTCAAAGATCCCTCAGGCTCTAGGTCTCCAGAAGGCTCCTACCTACCCTTTCCTCGGTCCGTAGGAAGTCGCCTCACCTCCATCTCGCACACCCCCTCCAAGGTAAACTACCCGGGACAGCTGAATTGGGGGACCCACAGCCCTATCCCAGGCGGGGGTTGGGTGGCCGTGGATGTTCACTGACGTGGAAGGATCCCGGGGACCACTGGGGAAATCAAGGGGCCCCAGCCCTCACCGGGCTCCAGCGGATCAGATGGTCGGTCCCCGGGTCACCCACCAGCGCCCACAGCTTGCCGAGGAAGGCAGGCACGGGGCTGGGGCCCGGCTCCGTGGGCAGCGCTGCTGGCGCTTCCTGCATGGCGCAGTCTCGGCCCGGCTAAGCGCTCGGGACCGGGCGCCGCGGGCTTGTCAAAGCCGCGGAAAGTGCTGCGTTTGCCGCCCGCCCCTCCCTACTCCGCCTCCGGGCGCCGGGTCAGGCGGGGGCCACGTGCGAACCCACGGGGCGGGGCTCAGGCCGCGGCCGCAGCAACAGCAGACAGAAAGGGAAGGCTGGGATCCGATGTGAGTGGAGGGTGCGGTGGGGACGGAGACCTGGGTTCGAGTGCCACCCTTTGTTCTTAGGGAGAAATCGCCCGTGCGCGGCCTGGTGTGGGCTGAAAAAGTCTAGAAGGTGATGGCCATGGCCTGGATAGAGAGGGCAGATAGAAGTGAAGGGGTGGGGGTGCGGAGAGGAGAGGCTGGCACCCTCCCGAAGAACTCTGAGACATTGTCTTTCCAAGGATGCGGAGTGCCCGGTCCCTGACCGCCGCAGCCGCAGCCGTAGCTTATCAGTACAAATGATCTCTCCTACGCCTACCTGGTGGGGTCCTCTGGCCTCTGCGGGTTCCCTGCTCTCCCTGTTCAGAGCCAGCGCCGCCTTGCACAGGACGCAGTGTCGCTGCAGGATTTTTTTATTTCACACTCTCCCCAGAGGCGCCGCCTGAGCCTGTGTCCTGTCTCCCCACCGCCCCGCTCCCCATGCCAGGGACGCGGAGCTAGCGTAGCTTCCATAGGGAAGTGGGGTTGAAGGAGGGTGATCCCACTACGGAAATGCACCCATGGGACTCAGGACGCAGGGGCTGGTCCCGAGGCAACAGAGTCCTGAAGGAGCGGGCTAGTAGTAGGTGCACGCCTAGGCAAATGCATCCAGCATCTCAGTGGCCACATATCTGCTGGGGAGGCGGCTAGCCATCACGCCACAAGAGTGGGCAGCCAGGGATGTGGCTCCCGGGTTAGTTTGAGTGTGTAGCTGCGCAGGCGCGGACAGTGCGCGCGGAAGGCGTGCAGCACGGAGGGTCGCACGACGCAGAAGCAGTGTACTTCGCGCAGGTCGGTACAGCGCACAGCCAGCAACTCCAGCGCGGCGTCCAACTCCGCTGAGGCAGCGGCGCGCACCTCGAGCGCGCGCAAGGTTGAGGCATAATGGCGCGCAGCAAAGCGCACCGGACCTACGGTGTCCCCAGAGAGACTGAGGCGCAGCGCAGCCACTGGCACGGCCGGCTGCAGGACCCGCGTCACGCTCTCGTCAGGCAGCGCTGGCTCCAGCTCCAGCTCCACGACCAGGCTTGGGTGGCGGCGGCGCACTGCGGCCCAGTCTTCCTCGGGCAAGGAGGGCGCGCGTACGTCCTCGGGGCACGCGCACCGTAGGGCCAAGTGAGCGAAAGGCGCGCGGTCTGGCGCCGCTAACATCTGGAGGGCGGTGCCCGACAGGCTGGCCAGGTGTAGCCCAAGGGCGCGCAGACGCGGGCAGGCCTTCAGTAGCTCTAGCACGGAGTCTGGACTCACGCTGCCCACCAGCGTACAGTTGTTTAGGAAAAGGCTTCGGAGCTCGGGACAGCCGCGTGACGCCTGCAGCACCAGTGCGTCGTCCAGTGTGAAAGGCAAGCGCCGAAGGTCGAGGTGACGCAGCGCGCAGGAGGCCCGACAGATGGCGTGCACGGCGTCCAGGATGTCGCGGCCTGCGTCGAAGAGGGGCTTTTCTCCGTGGCAATTCAGGAGCAGGCTTCGAAGCCCTGGGGTACGACCCGCCAGTGCCGTCAGCAACTCAGTGGCTGCCCTGCGGCTCGGCTCCCTCGACGGCTCAAATTCCAGCCGTAGATTGTGAACGTGGTCCAGGCAGGCGGACAGATATGGTAGCAGCGTACCTTCTCGCTCACAGTCGTAACTTGTGGTTAGAACAGTGAAGAAAAGGCATTGGCCTCGAGAGGCCTCTGCCTGTCCCTCACCCTACAGTCCCCACTCTGCCCCCTACAATACACCTCCCAGTCCTGATCATTCCTGGTTGCCCCAAAGTAGCCGCTGATTCTAGGGGGACCTCCCACCCTATCCCTTTAGAAGACTTAAGATGCGATACGCCTGTCACTAGTTGAAACTCTGGCAGCGAGAGCCAATGATATTTTAGGAACTGAGCTTTCTCCGAGGTCTTACAGAGGCGTGGCATGGCTTCTGAACTGTCAGGTTCCCATTCTGACTCAGCTACTCCTTACCTGAGTGACCTGTAGAAAGTGATTAAATCTCTGCCTCAATTTCTTATCTGTGCAATGGACATAATAATACTACCTATCTACCACATAAGGTTTTCGTGGGGATTAAATAAATTAATATACATAAGGCACTTAGAACACCAGTTAGTACATAATAGGTGGCCAATAAATGTTAGTAATGATTGTGCTTTTTAATATCCCTAACCCCCAACTCCATGGAGAAAGGGAGAAGGCAGGAGGGCGGCGGGGAGGAGGGAGAGGGAGGGGCTGCTCACCTGATGATCGTGTCGTGCCACACCGCGCTGCAGGTAGCAGCAGCAGCCCAGGCTCTGCAGACCCTGGAGGCAGTGGCACGGTCCCGCAGGGGCAGGTGGCGAAAGATAAGCGCCAGCACCTCCTCTGGCAGTTGCTCTCCAGGCTCTGTCATGACCATGGGCGGGGTGGGAGCTCCGTGCTAACAGCAGTTCTTGCCTGGAGAGAGAAGGGCGTCTCTGGGCTCAAGAAAGCCAAAATGTTGAGGGGACCACCAGAACCTATGTGTAGAAATGCTTGTGGCCCAGGAATTGCTACATAATTTGCAGAACCCAGTGCAAAATGAATATACAGGACTCTTTGCTGAAAATATTATTAATAATCTCAAGACAGTGACAGCAGAGCATTTGACCAAGGTGTTAAACTAAGCATGAGACCCTGTGCCTCTCACTGAACAGGCCTCAGAACCATGAGGTTGGCCCTGGATGCTTAAAGATTCTTTCACACTACATCCTCACTTGTTGAACAAATCTGCATTTTATGCTATACCAGAAGAAATACAGCAACGACCTATGTGCGAAGTTGATAAAGCCGAACATGTAGATTTGGAAAATGCTATCGGGTCTTTCTCCTAGTTACTAAGGTTTACCCTGGGGAAGGTGGAGAGCTGCACTGTACATGACTTGGGACAAATCATCCTTCCCTCCCTGCCCACCCCCTCCCCAGCTCAAAGAGCTCGTCTGGCCTCTAACTGCCTCCCCATACACACACTCCCCATCCGGACTACCCAGACTAGTCTCCCAGACATCTTCCAGAACTGCTTCCTTCCCTGAACTCTAAGTTCCAGGGAAGGACTGGGCCCAAGACTCGCCTCAAGGGTCCTTGAAATGAGGGCTTCTCAGATGGCAGGGGCAGTAGAATCACCCGCACACTTGTTCACAATACAGATCCCACTGCCCACATACTAAATCAGGCTCTCTGGAAAGAGTAGGACCCAGGAATCTGAATTTTAAGAAGTGCCAGTTGACTCCACCGGTCCCAATTGAGAAACCACGTCCTAGCCTTGTCAGTCACTGGAGAGTGACGATAGGGTTAATAGGGCGAAAGCATTGGAGAATACTTTTAATTGGCAGGGACCACCAGCCAATCAGGAAGCGGGGGCGCGGGTGGGGCACTGCTGAAACGGCTCTGAGTGAAGGCTCCTTCCTTTTCTCCCCTCCCTGGGGAGAAGTCCCGGGTGCTTCCTGAGAAAGGCCGGAGGGGCGGAGAAAAGCTTCGGGCTTTGAGACCTGAGGGGCCCTGGGTTCAAGTTTCAATCCTGATCCCGGAGCAGTACAGGCTCAGGTTGGGCGATTTAGGTTCAGCAGGAATTCCGCAGACCCATCCCGGAGCGCGGCCTTTGTTGGAAAGTGTGCATCCTCTTCGAAGTTGACAATTTATTTTAGAGTGCTTGAAGGTTTTCCTACACGTTTCACACCACTTGCTAGTTTTCTGTTTTCCCATATTCTCCAGGTTAACTGTCCCTGCTGCAATTTGCGCCTCGTTACCCTTAGGGCTTCAGATACCCTCGGCCAGGCTTGAACTTGGACCCACTGGCACCCCGTTCTGAGTGTCAAGGAGTAGGAGAGGTCAGAGATCATCGAGCTCAAGCCTCCAGGCGGCACTAGAAAATTATGGTGCCCAGGGGGTGCCTCTTTGTTGATCTGTTTCCTGCCTGAGAAAGCGAGGCAGCGCTCTCCCTTGGGGTCCCCTAGGCGCGTAAGTGCCGCAAGTGCCCAAAGTCTCTTGCTGTGGGCAGTTCTTCCCGCCGTCTAACCCTGGGCGCCAGTGTCTTACCTGCTCAACGGACCAAGGGGGCTTTGCCCAGAGGTTGTGGACTGGCGCCTGAGGACAGTGGGAGGGAAGGAGTCACAGGGAACACGGGGGGCGGGACGCCCGGGCTGACGGGGCTGCTCCGGCTGGGGCGCCGCCCCTGCGCTCCGCGCACACCCGGAAGCAGCCTAGTCCAGTGGAGCAGGGCGGGCGTGGGAATCCGGGCTGGGCCCAGGCCGCCAGGTTAGTGCAGAGGATGGGTGGGCTTTCCCGGGTGCCGGCAGAAACAGAGGCGGATCCCGGCTCAGGAGCGTGGGTGCAGCGCGGTTGTCACCCGCTGCTGCCCGGGCCAGCTGGTGGCGGCGGCCTATTGGGGTGTTTCCTTGGCAGGCGAAAGAGAGCGTACGGACGTTGGCACTAACGTTCCTCATCCCAGCTAGGGTCTTTCGGTGGTGGCGGGGGGCGGGTGGTCAAGTTCCTACTGGTGGGAAGGCGGGGCGGGGCTCGTTCTGACTTTGTCTGTGAGCAGAGACCTGTTCCCGCCCTAGCCAATTGCACTTGCGAAACCGCAGCACGAGGGTGGGCGCAACTGGAGGCTGGGCAGAGGGGCAGCTGAGTAGGGGGACGCGCCAGGATGGATGCAGTTCTTGAGAGGCTCTGGCCGCGGGCCTTTGCTGTCCACCCAACCGGAGGTGGAGCTGCCCCAGGACAGTTAGGCTATATTAATGGGACCCTGCGCCTGGTTGGCCTCTGGTAGTAGGGGCCTATTTTCTTTAGTTGGTACCCGCGTGTCCCTCTCAGTCTCAGCTCAGTGAAGAGTCTTCTTGACCCAGCCCGGCCCCGCCCTCAGAGAGGCGGACTGCGGGTGGATGACGCGCGCGGGGCTTCCCGAGGAGGGGCTTCTGTAGAACGACACGCAGGAAGAGGTTCCTCAGTGGATAACTCGAGCCAAGGGTCCCCGTCCTCGTCTCAATCCTATTATCTGACCCTCCAGACCTCCAGCCCAACCTGTTTGAATTCTCCCATTTGTCCACTAGTGAGTGTGATAGAACATCCCCCCCTTCCTTCAGGTTTCCAGGGCCCGCCTGCCCTGACAGTCCTGATGGGCAGACTCTGGCCCCGTCCCAGACCCCCACCGCTGCAACTTCCACATTCATGAGGTCAGCACCTTCAAGTCAGGGGGCTAAGAAGACATGGAAGAAGAAACGTTTCAGGGCAGGTTCCCACACTTTCCTGCCCTCTGGGCCACTCCCCCTGGGCTCCTCACTTTTGTCACTTGTCTTGTACTGCTCTTGGTCCCACTTACCACCTATAGAGTCTTACCCCGTTGTTTTTTTGTTGTTGTTGTTGTTTTTTGCTTCGAATTTATGTTGCTTTTTAATACAAAGCAAATATGTCTATTTTACATAAATTAGAATGTTGCTAAATACAATGAAAATACCCGCCCCCCAATCTCCTTCTCCACCCCCTGCAGAGGTAAATACTGCTAGCTAGCTTCCTGTTAATTTACAGACTATTGCTTTGGATAAATACACAAGTATTAATATATTTTCTACCAAAAGGTTATGGGGGAGGGAGGCTCAAAATGCATGTCCCCTGTGCTCATACTGAGGGTGGGACGGACCATCATCATGTCTGGGTGATGTTGGAGGGTCCCTGCCTGGCTAGTTACTGTCCCAGCTGTGGCTCTCGGGTTATGATCTGGGGGCAGATCTGAAATGCAACCTCTGTTTTGAGGTCAGGATTCCTACTCCCTAACCAACAAAGTCCAAGGGACCCTCTGGCACCCCCCCCCCCCCCCCCCCACTGCTGAGGCTCCCTGTTCCTCATGTAAATGGATGCCAGCTGGGGCCATCCCATCTGTTCTGCCTACAGCAAAGACATCCTGGGTGCTTACAGCTGGGGCTCAGCACCCCCTCCTAGCCCACTGTATATAAATACAGACGATCAGAGATAAAGAAGTGTGACTGGTGAGGCAGGAGGTGGGGTCTTGAGCCAAGGTTTCTAGGAAAAGGGTAAGATGTTGCCCCAGGGAAGGTGGGGAGGAAGAATCATGCTGCACCATCCTGCCTCATGGGAATTCCCCCCCCCCCCCCAGTCTAGGGCTAGGGTTTGGTCAGAAGATAGATGGAGGAGATACTAGCACCAAGGGGCCCTGGCTCTGTCTGGACAAGGAGGGAATCTGTAATAGAACAATTTGAGTTGTGTAAGACAAGAGCCCAGCTCCAAGGACTTTAGAACAAAAAAGGAATGATTTAGCTCACATAACTGAGAAGTTCAGGGTGCAGCTAGAGCCAGGGGCATAGTATGGTTAGGCATGCATCTCTTCATCCCTTGGCTCTGTCTCCTTCTGTGTCAGTTTTATTCTCAGCCAGGCTCTTTCCAGGCAGTGGCAAAGGAGTCGTTATCCTTCCTTCCAGCTCAGCCCCGTGGGAAGGGAAACTAATGTCTCTTTCTTATTGGTCCAGCCAAGGTTGCAGGTTGATTCTGATTCACCTGAATCCTATACCCAACTCTGAACTAATTATTTCAGGAAGGGGAGTGGAATATGAAAATTGGCCAGGCCTATTTCTCTCGCTCACACCTGGAGCTAGGGAGTGGGGTTAGCGCCCCCAACAGGCACATGGGTAGAAGAGGGAAGGCCCCAAAGTTCAGCCAGGATTGGGGGAGGGAATCTGGGCACAGGTCAACACTAACAGGTATCCTTGGAAGTGAAGCCAGGAGGTATGGTAGGAATGCAGGTGAGAAAACCTAATGGGGGGGCTGTGGTCCCAAAGGGATACTCGGGGCTCAAGTTTAAGCTGAAGGCATACCAGGACATGGGTTCGGTTGGCTGTGCGGCATGGACACTGCCCAGGATAAGGATGTCTCCTATCAGCTTTGATAAGGGAGACATCCTGGCCTGAGGGCGGGGTGGGGGGTGGGAGCAGAACTTCTCTGCCTCCACTGCAGTATAGTATCTCTCTTTTTCTGCCACTGTGACCCTGGGCTTTCTCTGAGAAGATAGTGGATGGACAGTACTCACTCCAGGTCTGGGCTGAGCTGAGCTGGGCTGGGCTGTGCAGAGACAGAAGCACAAGGGGCTGCCTGTGGAATAAACTTCCCCTTACAAGTGTGCCAGCTGGGTGGGGACAGCTGGGCCATGCAGGACTGGACACTTGTCTCCAGGGCTGGGCTGGGGTGATCTGGATGCCTGTCTGTGTCTCCAGGAGGCAAGATGGCGAGTGGGCCAAATGGGCTCGAGGAGTGGGTGGGCAGCGCATACCTGTTTGTGGAGTCCTCGCTGGATAAAGTGGTCCTGTCTGATGCCTACGCTCACCCCCAGCAGAAGGTGGCGGTGTACAGGGCTCTGCGGACTGCACTGGCAGGTGCGTGGGTGGGGGGGTACTTGAAGAGGGAGGGGAACTTGGGCCTTTGTGGGCGGGGCCAGGGGCTGAGGCCCCACCTCCTGAACTCTGGGGGTTAACCCTTGCTTAACCACCCTGTTAAGGAAAAGATATGATGGGGTGGGGAGGAGGGGAGAGGGGTGCTTGGTTTCATAAGTCTGTCTTCTCTGTTTATGCATGTGTGCCCTTGGGTGTAGACATGTGTCCCCGTCTCTGTGTATGATCTACCTATATGTGCACTAACGCCCCCCCACCTGCTTAATGCCCTCTACTCACCAGACCAGCCAGCTCTCTGCTTTCTACTAATCGCCCATCTCTCTCTTTTCCTCTCTCACTGCAGCACTCCTTGCCCAAGACCCCTCCCTAGTACCTACCTTTCGGGGGAGCCCCCTTTCCCTTTTCGGGGCAGAGGCCACAGGAAGCTGAAGCCGTTTGGGGGATCCGCTTCCTTCCCGGGCAGTGGGAGCCACAGTTGGTGGAGACTGAAGACCTGAGACCTCTCCCTCCACTGTCCTGCCGGGTGCCCACCCAGAAGGCTTGGCTGCCCTGGGCATACGCCCCTCTCTGTGCTGCAAAGCCTCTCCCTATGTCCCTTTTGCCCACCCTCATTTGAGGCTTCAACGATGGGGCTGGGGTGGCACCCATTCCGTCTTACGGTGCTCCCTGTGATAGGTTCTGGCTTTCATTTTGGGTTGTTGCTGTGTGCATGCCAGTTTTGTTTCCCAGCTGGGAGCTAGGAACAGGGAGGGAGTCTGCGCGGGCTTCACCCCACTACGGTCGCTTGGAGAACGGCCCCGCATGGGGACCGCCTGTCGCCTGACTGTCCGCCTCCGCAGAGAGTGTTGGGAGTCCGGAGGTGCTGCAGATGCTCAAGATCCACCGCAGTGAACCGCAGCTGATTGTGCAGGTGCGTTTCTGCGGACGCCAGCCCTGCAGCCGCTTCCTGCGCGCTTATCGCGAGGGGGCGCTGCGCGCCGCGCTGCAAGGGTGCTTGGCAGCAGCACTCGCCCAGCATTCGGTGCCGTTGGAACTGGAGCTGCGCGCTGGCGTGGAGCGACTGGATACCTTGCTGACGGATGAAGAGCGCTGTTTGAGTTGCATCTTCGCCCAGAAGGTGCGGCTGGGCCAGGGCCAGGTTAGGGTGGGGCGGGGCATCCGCAGCTAACACACCTACCGACGACCCCCCACTGCCCTCCCTAGCCTGACCGGCTCCGGGACGACGAGCTCTCTGAGTTAGAGGATGCGCTCCGGAATCTGACATGCGGCTCAGGGGGCCAGGGTAGCGACGTGGAGGTCGCTCCGGTGCCCTCGCAGTCCCTGGATGCCTCTCTCTCAGACGAGAAGCCGCCGCCGCCGCCGCCGCCATCTGGCCAGACTTTTCTGTTCCAGGGTCAGCCCATAGGTGAGGCGCGCTCAGAGGCGCAGGCAGGGTCACTGGGAAGATGGAGTTTGGGGAGGAGCAAGGTCTGGGCCGGGTAGTACCTGGGTGGGAATGGAGGGTACCGCTCTTGGCTTCCCGAGCTCATTCTGCTTCCCGCTCCCCCCGCAGTGAACCGGCCGCTGAGCCTGCAGGACCAACAGACGTTCGCGCGCTCAGTAGGCCTCAAGTGGCGCAAAGTGGGGCGCTCCTTGCAGCGAGGCTGTCGTGCGCTGCGGGACCCGGCGCTCGACTCGCTGGCCTATGAGTACGAGCGCGACGGGCTGTACGAGCAGGCCTTCCAGCTGCTGCGGCGCTTCGTGCAGGCCGAGGGTCGCCGCGCCACGCTGCAGCGCCTGGTAGAGGCACTAGAGGAGAACGAGCTCACCAGCCTGGCAGAGGACTTGCTGGGCCTGGCGAATCCCGATGGCGGCCTGGCCTAGGTTGGGTACCAGAGAAAGGGACGAACGGCCAGTTGTCCAGCCCAGGTTTGGAGCACTTGGATGACCCTAGAGTCCCTTCTGCTGCTACTGCTGAGCTCTGTCCATCCATGGGACTCTGAGACCACACTTATAACCCCACTTAGCCGAACTGTTGGAGCTGCTGGGCAGTGTTGATTGCCTTCTTCAAGAGTTGGGCAAGCACCCACCATGCCTACTGGGGTGCCACTGGGGATTTGGCTCCAGATACTATGACAGAGACAGAGTGCATGGGTGACCTGCTGCAGCAGTCTGCCCACCCCAAATGAAGGGCTTCTGGCCAGCCCTTACCTCTTCACTCACTGAACAGGTAACTGCTCATTAAGCACTTGCTGTGTCCTAGTTATCATCCTGGTGCTGTAAATACTGTGGTGAACAAGATACATGAAACTGCCTGGCCCCAGTTCATACTCAGTGTCGGACTGCAGATATTAAGCAACTGTAATAAAATATCACCTGTTTTTTGATGTGAAAAATAGGGGTTAGGCTTCTGGGGAGAGATAGGAGTGTGAATAGGGGAGACGGTGGGGGTTTGAGAGAATGGCAACATTCTGGGCATAGCCAGCCTCAGGTGAGGTCTTGGGGAATGTTAGAAGAGGAAGTTTGGAATGGCTGCATCTAGGGGTGGGTGGGTTTGTAGAGAGACCAGACCAGTTGGTGAGTATGGGAAGCAGATAGCTTGGGGACTGGTGAGCCATTTTATAGAGTTTGGATTTTATACTGAGGCCAGTGAGAACCATTTAGAGGGTTTGGGGAGTTAAGGTTGGGAGGCTGGTGAGGAGGGAGATGGGGAGGGAGGAGGATGGAGAGAGGGGAGGGGAGGAGAGAGAGGGTCTAGGCTAGGGCCCTGGCAGCAGAGATGGAGGGAAGGGATGAACACTAGGAGCAGTTTAGGATGAGAGATAGCAGGCCTAATGACACTGGATGAGGAGTGAGAGTGAAGGAGGACCTCAGGGTTTCAGCTTTTGTCAGCTAGATGGAGGGTGGGGTTGCCTGCTGAGATGGAGGCCCTCAATCTCCAGAACAACTCTCTGCCCACCTGGGTTCCGGATCAAACCCTTTGCTCACGGCATGCTTCAGGAATCCCCTAGCTGAACCATCCCTGTCCATCCAATCTGGCCTGCAGTGGCCCAGTCCTGCAGGAGGCTATGCTGATTTGGGGCACTAGGGACCAGGGGGCCCAAGAGGTGCCTCGGGGGAAACAGACTTAAGTGCTCACTGTGAAGTTAAAGCAGAGGGGGTTGACCCCCTGTCCCGTGTCCTAGTGGACAGATGGAGAGAGGGGGCAAAGGAGGACAGAGGGAAGAGTTCCAGACTGAGTTCCAGAAGACCTGGGGCAGTGCTCTTACTTTCTGCTTATATGATGCTGGGCAAGTCACTTAACTCCCTGAAAGGCACTGTCCCCACCTGGACATGAGCAATGAAAGCTGCTACCAGCGTTGTGAGAATTGAATGACCTGTCTTTGGGGTGTGTGTGTGTGTGTGTGTGCACACGCCCGCTGGAGGGTGGGGGTGGGGGAGCATAGAACCAGGAGTAGGGAGGCAGCCACGTGTCCGGGGCCATTTATAATTTATAGGTCCTGCCTGGTAGAACCAGGGCTGCTGGTGAGCTGAGGAGAGGCTCTTCCAAGATAGTCTGGGACAGTGGCCAAGTAGATGTCTAAGACGCTGGGCCTCAGGGATTTGGGACCCGCCTGCCCTGGGCTCCTGCCAGCCAAGACCCTGTCCCACTCCGAAGATGTGGGGGTGTGGAGATTAACCAGAAAGGCTAATGTTTCTTCCTGCCCTCACGGAAAGGCAGATTTGGGGCATTTGAGCCCACACCGAGACCAGAACCCACCTTCTCAGACCTTCCCAGAGAGTTGCCTGTGGGGATTCTTCTCAGAGATTAGCCCCCACTTGGAGACTGCGCTCCCTGAGGCGCCAGGGCGGAGCTGAGCTCCAGATGTCCCGGCGCGCACAGCTGGAGGGTCACGTGGCAGCGGCCCCGGCCCCCCTTCCTGCCAACGCTGCATTTGGCCCAGGCCCGGTTCATGGTTGCCCTTGGGACCCTGCGCTGAGCCCCGGAGCCCTGGCGTCCGGGGCCGCGCCGCTCCCAAGGGACGAGAGTGAGTGTCGGGATCCCAAGGACGTGGTGGGTAGGGAGGGGTGGAAGGGATTCGGCTTCAGCGCGGGAAGGGCGGGTTGGGAATCGGGCCGAGGCTCCGAGGCTCCCGGCCTTGAGGAACCGTCCTGGGCCGGGGTTGAGGGGTGGGAATTGGCTACTAGGAGGAACTTCCAGCCCCTTCAGGGTGCCCATCCCAGTGTTGGTGGGGGTGGGGTGGGGTGCCACGGCCCGGAGAAGGAAAACGCCGGAGGACGAATGGCTGGTAGCGGAGACCCTCGGCTTGTGGTCTCAGCCCCCTCCCCCTGGGGAGAGAGGGGCTGGGAGCCCCTACCAGCCGCTGGCTTTCGCGGCAGGGGCCCCTGACTGAGTTTCTCCGCAGGGGGCGGGGGCGTGAGCCACGCGGACATGAGGCGGAGGCTGCGCCTACGCGGGGACGCGTCGATCACGCTTCTCCTTGGCACCGCCCTCGGCCTCCTGCTCTACACACAGCGCGAGGGCGCGACCCCGACGACCAACGCACCCCGAGCGCAAGGGAAGATAGAGGCAGCGCCTACTCCGGGACTCAGAGTCTTCCAGGCACGGGACGCAGACGCAGCCCCAGCCCCCCTGCTCTACGAAGGGGACACACCGGAGCCGCCCACACCCACGGGACCCTTTGACTTTGGCCGCTACCTACGCGCCAAGGACCAGCGGCGCTTCCCCTTGCTCATTAATCAGCCGCACAAATGCCGAGGAGATGGCGCACCTGAAGGTGGACCCGACTTGCTCATCGCCGTCAAGTCAGTGGCGGCGGACTTCGAGCGGCGCCAGGCCGTGCGCCAGACGTGGGGTGCTGAGGGCCGTGTGCAGGGGGCGCTCGTGCGCCGCGTGTTCTTGCTGGGCGTGCCCAGGAGCACGGGCACTGACAGGGCAGACGCCGAGGGGGAGGGCACGCGAACCCACTGGCCAGCCCTGCTGCGTGCCGAAAGCCGTGCATACGCGGACATCCTGCTTTGGGCTTTTGACGACACTTTCTTCAACCTAACGCTCAAGGAGATCCACTTTCTGGCCTGGGCCTCTGCCTACTGTCCCGAGGTGCGCTTCGTTTTTAAGGGCGACGCAGATGTGTTTGTGCACGTGGGAAACCTGCTGGAGTTCCTGGCGCCGCGGGACCCGGCGCAGGACCTGCTTGCGGGTGACGTGATTGTGCAGGCTCGGCCAATCCGCGCGCGGGCTAGCAAATACTACATCCCAGAGGCTGTGTATGGCTTGCCGGCCTACCCGGCCTACGCGGGTGGTGGTGGCTTTGTGCTTTCAGGGGTTACGCTGCGTCGCCTGGCCGGCGCCTGTGCACAGGTTGAGCTTTTCCCCATTGACGACGTCTTTCTGGGCATGTGTCTACAGCGCCTTCGGCTCACACCGGAACCTCACCCTGCTTTCCGCACCTTTGGCATCCCTCGTCCTTCAGCCGCGCCGCACCTGCGCACCTTTGACCCCTGCTTTTACCGGGAGCTAGTTGTAGTGCACGGGCTCTCGGCGGCCGACATCTGGCTTATGTGGCGCCTGCTGAACGGGCCCCATGGCCCAGCCTGTGCGCGTCCTTGGCCTGCCGCTGCTGGCTCTTTCCGGTGGGACTCCTAGGTAACTTCATGGCTCCAAGATCCCCTTCATTCAGACCCAGGATAATTATTGCCGTGTATGTAATTCTCTCCCAGAGGCTGAAGAGTTCAAACTCTAGCCCCATTTCACCAGGAATTGGCCTCCACAGGGCCTCAAGGAACTAAGATTGTGCTTGGCTCCTGCTGGCCTGGAACCATTCGAACAGTAGTCCTTTGAGACAGCCAGGGCTGAGGCCATAGAGCACCAGGCTCTGCCAAAGAGGGACATGTTTGGTCCTCCTACTACCAAATAGGTTTTGGGGAGCTGGGATGGGTGGTGGTAAGAGGCTCACGTAATCTGACCCTAGTCCTTGGTTTGGAGGCCCTAGAATGCTGCAGATGCAGTTTTTTGGTTTTTTTTTCTCCAAGGCTGGAGGAGGTGTGGGGGCCTGGCCTCGGTCCTCCAGGCAGGCATTTGGCTTCCCACCTGCACCTCCAAATCAGATTTTCAGCCCTGGGCAGATCTTTAAATCTTCTGAGGTCTTTCCTGAAGCCAACCCCTCCTGGGCCCTGGTCTGGCTGGAACACCAGGGACAGAGGCACACAGGGACAGCTGAGTGCATGGTCCCACCTAGAGTCTCCCCACTGCAGAACTTTCACCCATACAACAATGCCAGTCTCCTACTAGAGGCTATGCTGCCCCACTCAGAGGAGCCAGAGAACCCAAGATAAAGCTACCACCATAAAACTACCCATATTCTTCAACCACCCACTTTCTCAAAAATCAACACCCCCATGTTTATTTTAGTACAAACATCCCAGCAACAGCACGTGGTAAGCTGCTGCTGAGGGCATAGGCCTTTATTGGAGGGGCATGGGCAGGGCATGAGGAAGGTTCCCCTATTCTAGGAGGATGGGAATAGTCCTGGCTGCCCCAACAGTGGGATGTAATGTGGGCTGGGGGGGAGGGGGGTCCTCCGGCCAGGCCACAGTCCAAATAGGAAGACACCAGTCAGTCACAAAGTTATGGGAGCGCCACACAAGCCTGGCTGTAACCCGGGAACCACTTAGGAGCCTGGGGCAGTTCCCCTGCACATTCATTGTTAAACTCTACAGGATGAGGCTGTACATGAGTTAATTACAAAAGAGTCATATTTACAAAAATATGTACACACATTTGAAAAACTCACAAAATTGTCATCTATGTATCACAAGTTGCTAGACCAAAATATTAAAAATGGGTAAAATTATACATTTCTCTTCTCAATTCTTTTCAAAAGGATTATTTTTAAAGCACATATGCTACTTTCCTTAGTAAGACCCATGTAAAGACTGAGCAGCCCAGCTTTCCTTGAGCCCCAGAGGCCTTGAACCATGAATGGGCCTGGCCAGGGGACACTGCCCAGGGTTGGGGCAAGAGAGCCAGCCCTCAGTGCAGAACAGAATGCTGAAACAACAAAAGGAGGAAGATGTCTTTGGCTAAAACTTTGGCATTAAATAAAAGAGGCAAACAGGATGGAAACATGCAGCCTGCCAGCCATGTTGGGGAAGAGTGGGGGCACAGGTGACCTTGAAGGCTGGCTCCAAGAGGGGTAGGAACAAGGCCTGGGCACATACCTAGATGGTAAAAAGTTGTGTTTCAACCAGTTGGGTGTGCCTACTGGGCCTGGTAGGGAGTGCGTGCAAGGAAGGAACAGGGAAGGGCAGGTGGGCCACGTTGGCCACAGCCAGCTCATCAAGTAACTAAAGTAGATGTAGTGCAAAAGTTGCAACCAAG